ACCACCAATGCCAATGTTAACGACATCAGTAATTACTTTGCCTGTATACCCGGTCCAACGACCTTCACGGATAGCATATACAGTCAGACCTCTCTAAATGCACGTCCTTGGGACCATGCTTTAATAACGTGCATATAGAGAAAAAGTGCATTTATAGAGTCAAGTATATATTTGGGCCAGCACTTGAGCGTGCATTTAGAGAGGGTGTGCACTTATAGAGGGCGCACTTAGAGAGGTCTGACTGTATTAATCCAAAATATAGTTTCAAAAAAATTACAGTAGCTTAAAATTATAAAAAATTAAATCTTTTGAAAGATAATCAACAATCTTAAGATAAAATCTTTAAATAAACAATATACCAAAATATAAACAATCTCTAAAGGCAGGTGTAATTGTTATTCGAATAAACAAATCTTATTCGGATAATTTTTATTATTCGTCATATAAAACTTCACTCATTGGCTGCTTCACACATAGTGGCTTTAAATTATTAGCTGCTACATCTATATGAGTGAGGCCAAGGGAAAACCTACAAGTCATGCTTTTTTTGAATAGTTACTTCTAATAAAATAAAGTAATTGAACACTTAAGATTTTAATATTATTTGAATTATTTCATTAAGACGATTCAAATAATATTGAAAATATTAAGTACTAAATTGCCTTACTTTAAGATATTTTTATTAAAAGTAAATATTCAAAAAGTATGACTTGTAGGTTTTCTCCTGGCAGTGCCCCATGTTATTCGAATAATATTAGCCATTTGGCGAATATTCGAATAGATATTTACTGATCCAAATTATTCGAATATTATTCGAATAAGGAATCTGTAAGCTCTAGCTGTAAATTAAAAATAATCTAATAAAATTCTAAGCTTACGAGGCTATCTTTATACATATATACACAAAAAAAATTTATCATATTAATAATAAATAAAATAAATTCTTTTGATAATATAAAAAATATTATTTTAAAAATTTATATTATTATTATTTTTTTATAGTGTTCAAAGATAAGCCGGCTTATCACGGCTTGCTGCGGCTTAATGCGGCTTATCACGTGATAAATTCGAATTTATCATTAAACCATGTGATATCTTCGGATTTATCTTCGCGATTACCACATGGCTTGGTGATAAATTCGAATTTATCGTGCGATAAGCCGCATTAAGCCGCAGCAAGCCGTGACAAGCCGGCTTGTCTTTGAACACTATTTTTTTAATATTAAAAGGTGAGACCATGCTCTTATCTTTATTAAATTTAATTAAAACTCTACATATTCAAGAAAAGGTTTATCTTTTAAACTTAAGATTAAGAAAAAAAACTCAGACATGTATCTAAGTAAACCTAAATACTTATCTGCAGCCTAAACCTAAAAATTTATATTATTTAATTGTTTTATATTACAACTTTTTTTAAAAAAATATCTTTACACCATTTTACAAACATATTTGTTTACAAATTTTCAATATTTAAGCTATCAAATTATATAAATTATAATCTATATCATAATATTTACTGTATATTTGAAGTTATACTATAATAAAAAGTAAAATAGTATAAAAAGTAATAAAATATCAAATACTAGTAATAGATTCTAATAATAGTACCCAAGCAAGTTTTTAATTTTATATTATAATTTAATATTTGTATAACTTAATTTTTTTTTATTGCACCATTGGTCTAAATTTAACAAAAGTATCCATTAGCAAGAAATTATAATATAAATAAATAATAGCAAACCTTGTATAAAGATATAACTTACTTGTATTCTCTTAATATCTAAATAAATACATTAAATTGTAATTTATCAATATAAATTCATGCTTATTTATAAAAATAGTTGACTTGAAAAAAAAACTTACCACTGGTACACTAGTACATGGAATCATGCCAACTTCTGTTATAACAGTTGTAATGTATTTTGAAGGTGTTAAATCATACAATAGATTTAACAGTTTCAAATCTGGCTTGTTAAGCCATTCAGACAATAACCCAGGTTTTGGGGTTAAGGTAGTAGAAATATTCACTACATCATTAGGATTACCTTGTTCATTCATCACAAAAGAATCTAATTGAACCTTATCTGTAAACTTATAGGTCTCACAGCAAATAATAACTGGAATATTCTTTTCATTTGCCATCATTGCAACCATTGCAGTACCTACACGTGAATAAAGAGCACCATTCGACATGAAAGCATGTGCTCCCAAAAAAACTTTTGAAACATCCTTCATTGCAAATCCAACAGCATGAAGAAAAGCATATGTGCAGTTAATACCAGCATCCACGAGACAATTCAAAAGTTTTTTACCTTTAAATAAAAAAATATAAAAATTAATGTTCTATGAATAAAATAAAAATATAATATATAATTTGTATTTTATGAGAATTACCTTCAAGTCTTGGTCTTGAATCAATAATAATGACCTTAAATTTTATTCCTTTTTCATGCGCTTCCAATAACAATGCCTGCACAACTGATGATCTGAATTAAAATAATATTTCAATTTTGAATATATCACAAACATTAATTGAAATAAGGAATGTAGAAATAATATTTTATGACTAACCTAGCATATGTTAATATTACATCACCATCCTGAATTTTTTGTAAACCATATTCAACAATTACTCGATCAGCAACCGTGATACTATCACGAATAAAGTTATCGATTTTTTCACATAACAATTGCTTCGCCTGTACCAATTATATTTATTCAACGATTCTGCTTAATTTTATAACGTGATAGTAATAATATAAGTACTTATTCATACTTCATCATCTGACATTTCAATATCTATAGTGGATATTTCCCATTTGAGGTGTCGAATCGCATTACCCATCCCCACAGACATTGGTCGAGCATTTACCAGATACGTAATTTGAGGTGAAAGATGAGTAGGTAAATGGCGCGAAAGTGTTGTACCTTCCGGCGTTTTGTAATCCTGAATAACCTATTTAATTATGCAACAGAGTTAAGAAATATAGTCATCAATATATTATATTATATTTATAATTTATTACAACCTTCTTAAAAGCTGTCAGCGCTGCAATACAACGGGCATTTGCACCACAAATTTTGAATTCTGAAAATTGCAAACCAAGCATCAAAATTGCAGGATGAATTTCTTTAGGAGCCAAGCTCGTATTGGTGCCTTTCGAAATTTCCAAATGTGAAAACATATCAACTTGTTTGTTGTTAATTTCTTTAGTGTGAGAACTCTTTTGTTTAGAGTCAATGGTTTTAGCAGATCCAGCAGTTTCAGAAGGAACAACAGTTGCCGTAGCTGAGGTAGAAGAGGTAGAGCCTACAGTTGTACTAGTTGCAGATCCGGACGGAGGCTTTTTGGAAGGAACGGCAGCATTTCCGGCAGCTCGCGCAGCTTTCTCTGCCCTTTGACGCTCTTGTAGTGCGCGACGTTCGGCTTTTAACTCTTTTGCAGACTTTTTTACTGGTGCATTTGAGGTATTATTTGTCGTTTGATTAGCAGATGAGCTACTGTTTGACGTTCGTCCGTGCTTGCTTGCAGGATCCATACGTGAGTAATGGTAATTTTTAATCAACGACAACGATAACGATAAGAGACGTGTCAGATATTAACAGAGATCAAGGGGTGCCTAATTTCCCCCAAGTTCTGATTGGGTGTATGAATACCATCACCCATTGGACAAATTAGATCACGTTACAGTTAGTACAGCGCGTTTTCGTTCAAGTAAAAAATGTGGTAGTCGCTCAAGTAAAAAATGTTGTGTTAGTCGCTCTAGTAAAAGGCTCTTTTCGATATTTGTTTTAAAAGCGCCAAATTTGAAGATTATGTAAGGTTGCTTAATTTTTATTGTACATAATTTAGAATGTTAATGGACTAATAAATAAATCAACGTGAATAAGAAGTGAATAATTTAAATAAAAAAAAATTTTAAGTACCTTAATTTATAAAACAATTATTTAAATAAATACAAGATAACAAATCATCAGCAAAAAATATAAAAATTTTCGAATTTTTGCACCGAAAAAATTGTGATGACGCGAAATATTTCGAAATATTTCAAAAATAAAAATTTCGAAAGATTTCGAAATATATTTCGTAATATTTCGAAAATAAAAATTTCGAAAGATTTCGAAATATATTTCGTAATATTTCGAAAATAAAATTTCGAAAGATTTCGAAATATATTTCGCAATATTTCGAAAATAAAATTTCGAAAGATTTCGAAATATATTTCGTAATATTTCGAAAATAAAATTTCGAAAGATTTCGAAACATATTTCGTAATATTTCGAAGATAAAAATTTCGAAAGATTTCGAAATATATTTCGTAATATTTCGAAAATGAAAAATTTCGAAAAATTTCGAAATATTTCGCGTCGATCGCAATTTTTTCGAAAGATTTCGGTGCAATATCCTGCCGTGAATAAGCACCCACCTTTTTGTCATGATCTAGTGATCGGATCTGCGTAATTTTGGTACAATCGAATCGTGATAAGGGATATGAAAATTGCAAAAGGTGGGTGCTTATTCACGGCAGGATACGGTATATATATTTTTACTGATGTTAGAGGTGACTATATGGAGGGTCGACTGTAACTAGGGTTGTAATGGTTGTAACTTACATACTTACCTTACATGTAAGTTACATGTAAGTTACATCCAAAATTTATGATGTATGGTAAGTTTGTAAGTTATAATGCTAACTGTTAGCATTAGTATTTAGTGTTAGAGTTAGGGTTTGGGGAGGGTTTTTAGGAGTGTTGAGCATTTTCACTTAGAATACCTTGTAACGATTAATTAGCCAGTTTTTGTGATAATATATACATAGGTGTAAACACCATAGATGCGTTTTAGTAAAGCCAAATATAATTATATATTACATTTTGGATATTTTTGTTATATATATTTAGATAATTACATTCTTACATGTAAGTTACATGACTATAACTTACCCTACATTAAAAAATTAAACCTTACTGTAAGTTTACAACCCTAACTGTAACACACAAGCTAAATCAATACAAAAGGGAAAAAATTAAATGAGAGATGAATAGCTATAAGGGATTTCAAAAACAGTAAGTAAAACTTTTTTTAAATAGTATTTTAACTATGTAGAATTATACTGTATAAACAGAAAAAGTGAAATAAAATTTTTTAATTTTAAATTTAGTGAATGGATACATCTATTAGAATCACATGAAATAGAATAAATTAGTAATCAATAAATTAGAAATAAGCTGCTTACCTTGATTTATATATAATCATTATTGACTAAAAGTGCTCTCAAGCATTTCCTTAATGTGATTTGCTACGTAGTAACCTCATCAACCATACACACGTGTTTGCTAATTTAACGTATTATACTCTACTACTTTACAAAACCATACTCTACTACTATTCGTATTACTCAAGTAATCATCTGATATGCTTGCTAAAAATCGAGCTTCATGCTAGATTAGATAATAATATTTTGCAAAGGCTTAAAATTCGATGCATGCCTTTACTACGTGCATGCTAGAACGAATGGAAAACATTAAAGAAAAAGCTTTCAAATTTGTGACACTAACATTTCTTAATATGCATTTTTTCGCTAATTAAAAAAGAATATATTCTTGATTCGAATGCTTAAACTCGTAGCACGAGTATGAACGAGAGGGGGTAAAAAAACAAATAAATTTGTTTATTACCAAATACTGTATAATATACTTGTCAAGATTACAAGGCTAATTCATTGTGGAATTTTTTATGAAATCATTCAATATTATGCTTTTGTGTACCAAAATCAAACCCTTATTTGAATTTGAAAAAATAATTATCGGTCATCCGTCCCAGGATTTGAGAATAGCTGGCTCATCGTTTCTAGTGATCCTGGCCATTTCGGATTGACCGATTTTCATGTATGTGTTTCTCAATCGCAAAAACTTACCCGGCCAGTTCATTCGCAAAGCTATTGCGTAGCGTCCTTGATATACCGTAAATTCTCGAAATAACGCCCAGGGGTAAAATTACGAAATTTGGCCTAAATTAAGCTTAATTCGGGCCAAAACTCGAAATAACGCCCATGCCCGTTATTTTACGACTTAAACCGGGACGATTCTACTACATCACCATTAACAACGAAAACAATAATTCTATTTTTATATTGTACGTGTAAATTTAGTTCTTAGTATAACAATAAGTACCATTTTTAAATTCGATAATTCAATTTACAGAGACCGTTTTATTCACATTAATACATAGATTTTTAAGAGAGGTGTTCAATAATCTAAAACATCAAACAAGAAAAATTGCCCCGCGAGAGTCATGTCGCATAATGTTACCTAGTAGGGATTTACGATTTGACGTGAATAAATTAAAGAGGGTCACAGAGACAAAAAATTTTAATTATTATTACGGGAGGAAGACACACTTATCTATTATATTCGAGAGAAAAGCTTTTGTTAAAGGTGAAAAGACCACCTTTTTTATAACCAACATAACAGAAGGTCTTAGAACCTTTTTCTTCATGCCTTTAGCATTACCAATTTATCCTTCTGCATTCTCGTAGCATGGCTACGCACTTGAACTCAACTGGTAATATTAATCATGTTTAGAGATATTATCAGTCATTGCTGAGGTGGTTTACTGGCTTGTTCACGAATGTTTCACGACGACTTGGTCACGGGTTTCTCTCTATATAAATCTCGTGAACATAAAATTTTCATTTACTTAGATTAGCGCGTCGTATGGTCTTAAACACGAACATATGTACTGTACCAACGGTGTCTTCCAACGAACGCAAATCAAGTTTATCTACTAAAAATCTATCTATGCAAATAAAGGATCGATGATTTTTATATTATTAATTATTTAAGATTTAGCACTTTAAGCTTATTTAATTGAATTATATACCTAATGGTAAGCGGACAGTTAAAATTTTTTTTCAGTAACGTCAAGGACATGTACAGACTTTCAGAAAATTCAAGAGGAGCAACTCATGATTTTTGCGAATTGGGATTTTTTAAATTTTTATCTATTTGCGCATAAAATTTTTGAAAATGGTTCGGTTTCAAAATTAATGATTTAACGATTTTGATGTCCGATTTCAGTAAAATAATGAATGGTCTATATTCCTATTTTTAAAAGAATATACTTATTTACATAATTGCTTACCGGTAGATATTTATCAAAAAAACTTTTTTACCACCGGACGCGTCTATTTAATTTTTTGATTCGGAACTTCAAAACAGAAAATAGGACCTTTTAAACTCATTTCGAAATAAGTTAATTCTGAAACTTCCCATCATTTAAATTCAATTCTATGTTTCCATTACCAGCTATGTAGTACTAAGTAAAAATGGTCAGCTCCATAAAACCCTACAAATTTGTCCAAAAAATTAACTCCATTGATCGTATAAATTTATGTAGTCGAAGTCTGCTAATGGATTAATGGACATATATCCATAGATTCATTGATATTCATTGATGAAATATTTTTACGGGACATACATAATCTTTGCCTTCAATCTAAACTTTAACTATGGGTGATTTCTAGATAAATTCTATTTTTAATACCCGCGAAAAAATCTGCAATTAGTTACGAGTAATGTGTATTCATCAGGATGAGACGCAAATACAAGGAATATTACAAATAAAAGACAAGATTATTCTTTTTATTAGAATATCAGAAAAGTCTAAAAGTCCAGTGAAAGTTCTAGGTTTCTGCCAATAACACCTCATTACTGTTTTATAGCGCAGCTAAAAATTAATTAAGTATTGTACTCTAATTCCATTATTTGAGTACGTACGTACGTCGCTTATGCACTATTTCTAAGTATATACTTGATGTTACACGAGAAAATATGATTCAATATATACAAAAAACTTTGTAATCAAAAGCCAATACGTGAATTATTATATGAAATTCAATCAGCCGATTTTGAAAAAAATTGATCGGCTAAACCGATTGGCCGTTTTTTTTTTCATTATTTGGCTAGGGATCACTAATCGCTTTTACTGATTTGAGCAAGCGCATCATTGTTCGCATCTCTAACTTCAGAAATTACTTTGAACATAACACCCTTTTCTTCTTGCGCCTCTGCAGTACCAACTTTCTCGAAAGCTGTATCACTTCGATCCATTAATCGCACTAAATCAGATTCTGGAATTACGGCATCTCCATGTTGAGCCAATTGAAACTTTTCACTATCATCTGCCATTAATATTTCAGCTAGTTCCGCTAAGTTCGCTATTGGGAGTTCACGTGACGTAGGCAGCTTGAATTTGCCTTTGTGAATAACCAACTTTTCTAATTTTCTCTTAGCAGTCGCTTTTTCCAAGATCTTACCCTCGACTGTGTTTGCAGTAACTAGTCGATAAATTATAACAGGTTTTGTTTGACCGATACGATGAACTCGATCTTGTGCTTGTAGATCCATTTGTGGATTCTAAAATCAAATAAGAATTAAAATGAAATAATAAAAATGAATAACGATAATAATATATATAACAAAAATATTATTTAATTACCCAATCACTATCATAAATTATAACAGTGTCTGCTGCCGTCAAATTGATACCTAGCAGGTGTTTAAAAATAAAAATTCATGAGAAATTTAAATTACATAATTAACCCATTTCTATGTGCAGTTTATTTTTTGTAGCTATTAATACCATACCCAATCCACCAGCACGAGTAGACAAAATGAAAAGCCGTATTTCTGGATTTGTGTTAAAGTCATGAATCTATTATGAATAAAGCAAACACAAAATATAAATAAATGCCAAATTTACGAAAGAACATAAAATTAAATATGAAATACCTGTTGTCGCCTATCTTCTTGGCCTATGCTACCATCGATTCTACATAATTTCCAACCTTTGAAGATAGTAGCCCAATCGTCAATTATATCAAGCATGGTAGTAAATTGTGAAAAAATAAGCACTTTATGACCACGTTCAAATAAAGCTTCAAGTAATTTTTCTAACAAGATCATCTTTCCAGATGCTGCTGCCAATTCTTCAGTGACTTTCGGCAACTCCGTTTCTTTATCAACAGGCCAATCGAAAAGATACGGATGGTTGCAAATTTTGCGTAATTGCATAACTACATTCTGAAGTCTCATTGAATTAATCGATTTTACTAAGATTTATACAAATTATAATAATGTAAATCAATAAGTATATCTACTATTATAAAGATTCTCTATAGTTAGTTAAGATTAAATATGAATGTATTAATTACCAGCTTTTCTAGCCTTAATGTCCAATTCATTTTTAATAGAATTTTTTAATGCTTCTTCCTCATCTATCTCAGGCTCTGATTCTTCCACCTCCAAAGCATCAAAGAATTCAATGTCTGTGATCTCTCTGTATGTTTTTCGTGGCAAGGTCCGTAAAGACTGTCTACGTTCTTCAACCTGTTCTTCAACCTGTTTTTCGACCTTTACTTCGACCCGTACTTCAACCTGTTTTTCATCTGTACAGTTATTTACTTTTTCCTCAGAAACAACCTGTTTTTCATCTGAACAGTTATTTACTTTCTCCTCAGAAACAACCTGTTTTTCATCTGTACGGCTATTTACTTTCTCCTCAGAAACAGACTTATTTTGTTCTACTTCTGGATAAGTATTATGATACAACATTAATGGTGACAATCTACAATGACAAATTGAATTAAACTGAATTATCAATATCGCTTTACCATCTATTTCCATATCGGTAGAACCATTTTCGTGCATTGTTTCCATTTTTTTTGCTAGCAGAAAAGGTCGAATATTTCTGTTTAAAATAGCATCGTATAACTCTTTCTGTTGTAATGTTAGCGGAGCATACAGCAAATATTCTTTCTTCTTAGGCAGATCATATTCAACTAGAAAAAAAAATTTGATTTAATCAAATTTAAACACGTAAAATTTCAACACAATCTCGACACTTACCATCACTTTTTATGCGCCGTAACAAGAAGGGCTTTAGGATTTTGTGCAAATTACTTACGACTTCATTTGACTGTTCTTTTGCCAGAATCTGTGTTTCCCCATCTTGCTCATGAAGAGCAGAAAAGTCAAACCTGTTATACAATTATAAGGAAATATGAAATATGAAAAATACAATAAATGACAAGACTTGCTCATATGAGAGAAAAAACAAAATTACTAGTTTACCAGTCTTGGAAGCTATCTAGGTCGTCAAATATATCAGGTAAAAGAAAATTTAAAAGACTCCATAATTCTGCAAGGTTGTTCTGAATAATTAATAAAGTTAATATAATGTATGCTAAAATAAAATATGACCGTTCATTTTGTGAAAACGTTTGCGAACGAACTTAAAAAGTAAATACTTGTAGTGGTGTTCCCGTTAGAAGCAAACGATTTGCAGATTGATACGTCTTGAGTTCTCGGATAAGTTTACAATTTAAATTTTTAATTCGATGTCCTTCATCAACAACAATATATTTCCAGGCGAATTTCTATATAAAGATAATTATGTTTAACATAAATTGTTTTAAAAACATCATTTCCTATAGTTTTCAAAATGTAATTACCTGAAGGTATTTGCGATCATTCATTGCAATTTCATAGCTTGTAACTACAATTGGAAAAGTGTGATCCAATTTTTTTAACTTCCTACTTCTGATATGTGACCTTTGTTCTGGTGTACCATGATATAATACACAAGGTATTGTTGGTGCAAACCTGAAATGTAAATCAAACAAAAGAATAAGACTTGTAAACATGTGAAAAACTGTAATCATTATTTTTCGATTTAACACGAATGTACCTGTGAATTTCACTGATCCAATTTGCTAATGTTGAAAGTGGTGCGACAATTAAGAATGGCCCATAAATTTTACGTTCCCATAAATAAGCCAAGAAAGCAATAGTTTGTAATGTCTTTTTTGTCGGTAACAAAATTTAAAAGTTAAATATATTAGTGTTTAATTCATAAAAAATATAGTCAAAAATTTCGAAAATACCTTTCCCAAGCCCATTTCATCGGCCAAAATTCCATTCAACCCATTATCATACAGGCTAACAAGCCATTCAACACCAGTTAACTGGTATTCACGGAGGACACCACCAGTAACCAATCGTGGTTGACGAGCAGAAATAACAAGATTTGGTTCTAAATCATTGTCTTTCACAACTGGTACGGGCTCATCGTCTTCAGTATCTCCGGGGTCTACTTGGGATGAGGTACCTGCAAGATCGGTCAAAGAGTCAGAACTCTTACGACGTTTAGGAACCTCCTGCTGGTTAATTAAAAAATATATATATGTAAAAATTAGAAATATAGTTGGAATCAGTAAATTTCTTAATAAGCTAAATTTACATTATTATCCAAGTAATCTGATATGCTGTAATTAGCGTCATCGGCTTTTCTCTTCTTTCCAACGTTATTTTTCTTTTTTGTAGCCGGCTTAGCAGGTGATTCGGTCGATCCAGTATCAGCGACTTTTGAGCTAATCCTTGATGATCGACGCGTTGGACCAGATTTTATTTTATCTACTTTTTCTTTCGCGTTAGCGCGTTTTGCTTCTTCGACTTGAGCACGCTCGCGTTGTTCTTCCTGTTGCCGTTCCATTTTATTGGCCAAGAATTGTGCGTAAAGCGAAGATTTTTCCAATAAGAACTTCAGACGTTGAACTCGTTGCTTGTCAACTAGCGCATCATAATCAGCCACTGCCTATTATTCATTATTTTTAAATATTTAAATATTGTTAGATATTCCTCATCATTACTCATGATTTAATCATAAGTAACCAATTTTCGGTTTTTTTTTTACATTATTGGTTGATATAAAAGAGTAACACACGAATAATATACAATTCACCAAATCTTTCTAAGTATGGTGAATAAATTATCTACGTTTCACAAGCAAAGTATTATGATCGGATATATCATACCTTTTCTTTCAAAATTTTAAGATTTTCTTTCTCACTTTCATTAATAAGTTTGGCCTCTTCCTTTCTCATATGATCAGTTATGATAGTTTCCTCGGTAGGGGTATGAACAGAGGAATCCGTACTCAAAAAGGATGGCGAATCCTATTTTATTAAAGGAAATCAAAGAAAAAGTATACGTGTTCTTCGTTACTGTTTTTAAACCCTTTTAAATTACTGTAATAAAAGTTTCTAAGTCGAAACTCCGAAACTCGAGAAAGTATCTCAACGACGCGACATGACTAACATTATGAACGACGCGTTTTCTTACTTTATCAAGCGGTGGTGGTGTCGATGCACTAGTAAAGTCACTAATGTCACTATTCATTTTTGTCAGTCCTTCCTTCGCTTCCGACATGGTAATAAGCTTCCGAGAAATTTTAATTTTTTAGGGGAAAAAAGAAGGAAATCGCGTCAGCAATTAAGCATCTGAAATGGGATTAAATAATTAAACCGTTATGATATGCATATATATAGTTTTTTGTGATATCGTGGCCAATTGCTCCTTAAAGAATAATTATTACCCTTTCTGGAACATAGTCACGTTCTTTAAAACTTGATTTTAATTATTAAGTCATCATTATTGGACAATACAAAAACGAAACAGTTGCACTTTAATTTCATTTGTCTGACATATATAGAGAGCATCACGTATTATGAAGATTATTATGCGACATGTAATTCAAACTTTTTTTTTTGTGATTGTTTAAATAATTGGTTTATTGAGTATCCGATCATAAGAAGTTAAATAGAGTTTCTTGATAAAACTAATTTTAGTCGGGATAAAAAAAAAAAAAAAATTCTCAGCTACTGTAACATTGACTTTATTGGGTTAATATAATATAAAAGGTTATTTAGCATGAAAAAATCCTCATTAAGAAAGAAATTCGGATTATCACCGATTGATCAATTTTATAATTTATAATAACGATAACGGTTAGTTATCACATATATTATTATTATGATATGACAGATAATTATATGCTGTAGGTATTTAATCACGCCACATATATAAAATAATTCAACGATTTTTTTAAATACTGCAACTACGTAAAAAAATTTTTACTACAAATAACTGATGGTACGTAGTGATCCGAAAAAAGATCCGGAATTTTTAATGGGTATTAAATTATCAATTTACAAACTCTAAAACTGTACATATAATTAATATGGAAAACACACTACTGCAACAGGCTCCACTTGTACCTGTAGCCAGTAGCAGTCTTTCAAACTCGCTGCATAAACTGGATCCAGATCCGAATCCGGATCCGAATGGACAGTTTTAGCGGACCTGCTACTGGCATATTACTGTATTATCGATAGTGTGCTTTCCATATTAATTATACAGTACGTGCTGTTTCAGTTCTGGTTTTCTTTGTGAAATGCCCCCATCAAAAATACCGGATCCGTTCTGCGGAACACTTATTTTTGGGTGCAGTTTGGGATATATAGGGAGAGTTATATATATAATACGTAGTTCAAATTTTAGTTAGAATTAGGTTTTTAGAGGATCTGAACATTTTTGCTTAGTATCCCTGACTTGAATTAGCTAGTACAGTAGTAGGTTCTTGAGATATAGCACCCTGGTGATAATCACCACCGGTTATAGTTAGTATATAATATTCAAAAAAAAAATACGATAAAGCTAATTAGTTTTTTAAAAGGGACCAAATTGACAAAAAATTATTATCTCGTGAACTCTTTAATGGTATCGTTCGATGAGGGGATCTGGTATCAAAATCATGTGATTCTTATTAAAGTTCACGAGACAATTGATTTTTTGCAAAGAAAAATTTTTGTCCCTTTTCTCAGCACCAAGCCCATATGCAAAAATATCGTTCCTGATGGATCGTCGGTACTGTTCTTGATGGGACGAAAAAAAAAATCGATTTACATACCGTTCCTGATAGGGAATCCCAAAGCTAATTCTCATGACGATGCTTAGTTATAATGCGAATGCTAATTCACGACCCGTGATTGATTCACAACGATTTCAACTTTACTAAATATTGGGCACAAAATAATACTATACCCCATAGGCGTTATTCGAGACAAGTAATTTGAAGAGAGCTAATAATTAATTTAGCAAAAGAATTATTAGCATTAAAATTATGGTTGT